GAAGCGGACGCTGAGGTCAAGCAGAAGAACGAGGCCGAAGCGACCGCCCAGGTGGAGGCCGAAGCTGGCGCGGAGGCCGAGCAGGGTGTTGAAGCGGAGGCGGCCATCCAGCACAAGGGCAAGGCGGAAGCCAGGAGGCAACGCAAGGCCAAGCAGAGGGGCAAGGCGGAAGCCAGGAGGCAGGCAGCGGCGGGCGCGGAGGTCGAGGCGGAAGCGGAGGGTGAGCCGGATTCTGGAGTCGAAGCTGGCGCGCAGCCCAAGGAGAGCCTGAGCCGCCTGCAGCCGGCGACGGTCGGCGGCGCGCACAAACGGTGCGGTTTGGTTCGATGTTGGCGGCCTTCTGTGACCAGGGGGGCGTGAGACTCGGGTTTGCAGCCGTTTCGTGACGGCCCCACCGTGTTTTTGGCGGTGTGGTTTTCGTGTGGTGTTTGCAGCTGGAGCCCCCGCCAAGTTTCAGAACATGCCCCGCTATTTTTCGGAGGGCCCCGTCAGGCAGGTTCGAGTCCCCCAAGCTCGACTCTTGCGTCTCCCTGATGTGAGGACAGGGACCTCCTCAGGAAGCCCTCCAGGCCTTCCAGCCCTTCGAGGACCCCCCCCCGTCCCTCTCAGAAGGCCGATCCCCCCTCCCTTCTTACTCCGCTCGAAACGAGTCGCTGGACTCCTCCCCCGGTCCCAGACTCCCGACGTTTTCATTTTTCACAACGTGGACCCCCAGAGGTCTCTACCCATTTCCCGGGACCAGGTTTTCCTCCCAGGTCGTTTTTGTGCCGGCCCCGCGGCCCAGAGAGGACCCTCATAACCCTGCCCTTCCCCATTCCTCTTCCCTATAGGTTCGAATGTGTGTGTGTGTGTGTGTTGTTCTTCATTTATTGAGCCTACCCCTGGAGGGCTGGCGCACAAGAAAGGGTGTGTGAGGTGGTGGTGGACGGGCTGGTTACTACGTACCTATACACGCTTGTGCATTGCGTCGGCGCACACTGTCTTGGGGACATGTTCTGGCGTCTGTGCCTCTCTGTTTAGGGGACACGTCTTGCCGTCTGTGCCTCCTGGTCTGCGCGGCACGGGTGTCACGCTGTGTTTGGTAGTTGGCCACATGCTGCGTTGTATTTGAATACATGCTTCTCTTGCTCATGGAAGGATTGTATGAGGTGCTTCCACTACCCTTTCGGCCTGGCAGCCACTGCGCATGCTGCGGTCTTCACCCACGGGCGAGGCGCGCCCTCTCCATCCCGTTTCGCCACACAACCATGTCCTCTATATCGTCAAGGGTCGGGGGAAGGACTACATGCGACTTTCCCAGGTTGGCGCATGAACACGTACGCGGCGAACCTGACAGGTACGGAAACGGCAAGGTCAAGCTTCGGCTGCTACATTGCCGTGCGGCACGCAAGATTCGATTGCGAAGACCTGCTCCCGAATCGGAGGTTCAGTGGGAGTGGGTGTGCGACCTTTGTGGCATGGTTTGGGATCACGGGCATAGCGGCAAAAAGAAGCATGCCAAAAGGATGAGCTACCTGGACGACCCAGGCCACGCACTACCAGACCCCATTCGCTACAACGGCTCCGACGCGGCCTTCGGGCCAATGGGCCAAATCTCACCCGCTGCGTTGGGGGACCCGCCTCGGCGCAGGTGGCCCAAATGGACAGCGGTCGGACAACAATGGACAACGACCAATCTCGACGATGATGCCATCATTCATAAACCCATTGGCTCGCCAGTTGCTCATTTGCAGGACAAGCATTGGTTTTCCAGCACGTCGGCGGAACTCCTGTACTGCAGCACGGACCCGCGACTTCACCCGCCGACTAGGTGGACGCCAGCGCCAGCTAACTCTTGCAGCTCCTGCAGTCTTCCCCCAGCGGCCGCTGCAACAGCATCAGGGGAACCACACTCTGCGACACAAGCGGGGGGACACGTGACGACCAGTCCGAGGCTTCGATCCCTGGCGACACCATTGTGACGGTACCCCCACCAATAGGAGACTGGCGGTGGCAAGCAGATCTTCAGAAAGGCAGCCTGCTGCAGGTTTACAGCCGGACGGAACGGATGTGGTGTGGTGAGCAGGGGCTACGTGCAACAACTGGGATCGCGCAAATATCGGTCGAGAACCAGACGACGAAGGGACCAAGCAGTAGAACGTTTGATCGGGACTCCATCCACAGTCGGCCGCTCCAAGGGCGACGCCAACTCTGACGGGGCCAGCGGTGACGAGGGCTCCCCCGCCTTTGCTACCAATGCCAACGCGCCTCACCAGGGCACTCACGACAGGGCGCCACCCACCTGCAGGACAGGAGGCACCAATCGAGGTCACTATGGCGCAGGCTACCAGGGTCTTCCTGCTGGACCCCTGGCACGCCATGATACACGGATACACGGTGAGCCGTTCGGGATTAACGTGGGCCCTGTCGGGGGTGCCTACTCCTTGCCGGCCAACTGCCAACGCTTATGGAGTCTTTCACGGACGCGTGCACCAGGTTTGCCAAGACGGACCAATGGTCTGCACTGGGACCAGAATGGTCTCCGCCACGATCAGAAAGGAGGTGAAGGACTCCAGAGTGACGGTGCTTTGCGTCCGCCTTCTTGGGGACGCGAGTGCGTCGCGGAGATGGGCGGAACCATGCCAGTTCCCCTGAGGTGCGGAAGTTCGAGTGTTTCACGGCGAGCACGGGGGCGACCGCCGCCGCTAGGATGCTGTCGTGCGTTCTTACTTGGCCGTTAGAGTACCACCTCAAGCATCAGCCGCCGGAGTACAACAGCACGACCTGTTGGCTGAGCGATGCGCGTCCGCGGTTTAGATACACGCAGTCGATCGCGCCACTGGCCGCCCCGTGATCCAGAGCGGGCGAGGATCGTTCCAACAGTTGTATGCGTCTTTCACTGGGCATGGGGGCGAGCTTTCCCGGGCTGATGAGGGCGGCGGGGCTCGGGGACGTATCCGTCTGGACAGGGCAACGGGCAATCGACAGCTTGAGAAGGTGCAGCCAGGTATCCCATGGTGTCTGATCCCGCTGCATGCCTCCAGGGTCGCGCCTGGGACAGATCCCTGGCGCGATGCCCTCGTTGCTGTGCCCGGGATTCTCCTCTGAAGCACGTTTCCTCGTGGACCAAGCAGTGGGGGCGCGTCGGCGGGCGGCTTCCAGGACCTTGAGGACAACGCCTCCCTGCCCCGACCGCCCCTCCGCGGGCCCCGGCCGATCCCGTTTGAACGGGGTGTGGGGCGGCGGCTCTCGTCTGAGGGCCTATTGCACCGCGTTGGCATTGTGCAACAGATGGTCGTCGCTGCACCAGACGATGAACTCCCGCAGAATGCCGCGGCCGCGCGCGGGGCCAGCGCGTGCCAGTTCGAAGCAGCGAGGAGGGTCGGCGCCAGCGTCGTGGTGGTGGTTGAAGGGTCGTCAGGTTCGGGGGAGACTCCGCTCGTTGGTGCGCTGGCTGGTGCGTGAGCCCTGGACCGAGGCCGAGGTGCCGTTGTCCTAGTCGTCTGCAAATCCAGCGCCGCGGCGCCCAACGCGGTCGCTGCCTTGATCAGGGAGCGGGGCGCGACGTCCCTGGCAATGGAAGAAGCGTTCGGGCAGGCAGTGCTAGACGCAGTTCGCGCGACGAAGTCAGAGAGTTGACTGGCGACGCTCGGTGCGAGGCGCGCGTGCTAGAGAAAGGCGACGACGCCGTCCGCCTCCAGACGTTCCGCCGCCGGCAGCGAGCGGCGGCGCGCGTTCTCATCGCCGCCTTGGAGACTGCCTGCAACTGGGCAGAACCTAGGGGGCCGAAGAACGTCTACCTCGTTATTCAGGACGAGGCGCCGCGGGCCACCGAGTCCGCCGCGTGCGTCGCGTTGCAGAGTGTCGTGCGCAGTGTGGGCAGGGCAGTCCTTGTCGGCGACCGCAACTAGCTCGGGCCATTTGCCGAGGACAGCATGGCAGCCGCCAGCGGGTTCACCTCCCCGCGCGACTGGTCCGCGTGACAGATGGACGGGGGCGCGCGCGCCTGCCCCTGTCCGGTCCTCGGAACCTGCTCGCGCCCCGATTTTTTTGGGGCTGGGGCCAGGTCCATGTCGCGGGGTAGCTCGTGGGCGGTGCGACCGCAGGAACCGGGCCAGCCATCGGCGGCGCCCCTTGGTGTTGGGTGAGACTCGCGACGTCGGCCCGATCTGGTGGGGGCCTCCATGGTGTGAAGGCGCGGCGCGCAAGTGGGGGCGCGGATTTCCGCGGGGCGCTAGCGGCTCGCGTTGCAGGGGGAGAGGTCGCGAGGGACAAACCGAAGGCCGACCTGCGCGAGGCCGAGCTCTTGCTGGATATTATCGCGACAATCGCGCCAGGACTCACGAGAAGTGGGCAGACTTTACTCGTCGCGGCGCCCTGCGTCCAGCAGTTGGCAGTGGTCTTGGCGGGTGCCCCGCGCGAAGTCTTGGGCATCCCAGTGGAGGGCGCTCGCGGGGCAGTGACAATTGGGGAAAGAAGGGCCAGGGGGCGCTGGGTTTGAAGGGGTCTCAGCGATGGATAACGCGGACGTGGCTGCGACAGACGTGGAAGAGGAGCGGACGCAGCCGCGCGACTGGGCCAGCACTGTGCCCGACAATGCTCGCGAACAGGGGCGGGACCTGCGATTCCAAGACATTTGCGAACGACTTCCCGAAGGGTGCGGCCCGCGCGCGGCGGTTGGATCGGTGGAAGCCACGCAGGGGCAGGGTGGCGGACCTCGTCATCGCCGCAACGACCCTGCTCCATGACTGAGACCTCGGATTCTTGTGCGGTTCTCGACGCCTCAGGCCTCGTCGTCGTCGCCAAACTGGGCCACTTGCCAACCGCCAAGTTGGCGGAGCTCCCCGAGCATCCGGCCTATAACGCGCGTGCGGAATTCACGGTCAATCTTCAAGCGGGGAGTGGTTAGGTGATCGCTGTAGATTTCGACTCCCGCAAATTCCAACATTGTGTGCCCATCGGCATCTCGGCGGTCGGAATTCAGGTGCAGGGTGCTCGCCGCGCCACAGGGGCTGATCTCAGTACTTCTACGAACCAGGCAGGCCGACGCCATCCAGGCTCGTATGTTCACGGAGGAGGTCAGGGTGTGCCTCCCCCTGGGCACCGATGAGAACCAGCACTGTGAAACGCTTTGGCAGGTGGCCAAGGCGCTGGTCTGCTGTCCTGCGTTCCTTCCAGCCTCGGCATGCAATTCCAATGTCCATCCGCGCCGAGACGCGCGTGGAGATCTGCAAGTGCGTGTCGACCATGATAGGAAGGAGTGGGCCAACTGTAAGACGTTTACATGACGCTGGCAACGACAACTACGCCGTGGTCATGGCGATCATCCAGAAGTCCCTGCATGGCCAGGCGCGCTACCTGGGCGGGGATTTCGTGGTCGTCCCAAGCAGGGCCATCGAGCACAAGCTTGCGCATGCCGGAGTTGGCGGGCGGGCCATCGTTTCCCGCGGCACCACCAGGCAGTTCCCCTGCTTAATCGATCCCCGCACCGCAGTATGCACGCGCCACAGGAACGTCACATCCATGGACTTGCCTCGGCGGGTGGCCAAGGCGCATGGCCCCAGCGGGCTGTGCACCCTCGGGCGCGCCGCGTACTTTCTGGGGCGGCCGGTGATTCGCGAGCCGCGCGCCATGGGGTTGCCGCGCGCGAGCGCGGCTGATATCGGGGACATCGTGGAGGCTTTGTTTGCCTTAGGTCACCCAAGCAGACACATGCTTCAGAGGTCTCAGCAGGAACCTGGTAGGCTGGCGTGGCTTTCGGCCGCCGATTTGACTGACCTCCGCACCCGTGTTCACATTCTTTCTGACCTGAGCTACCAGATCTGGGCGGGTTCCCGAGAATTGGCCCCCGCGGGGTGGGCGCCGATGGGGGTGCGCCCAAGAGGGGTGGCAGTTGCTTTTATTTTTACGCGGTCAAGGTAATTCGGGGCAGCGCCACTTGGCTCACCCCATGCGGGCGCGACGTGCTGGACATCGATTTCTTGGACTGATGCCAGCTGTGCAAGCTCCGCGCCACCCTGGCTGGGGGCGAGTGCGGCCCTGGCAACGCAAGCGCGCCCCTCGGGGACGTTGGCAGCCGCTGGGCGTATCTTTGGCATGCGGTGAAGGGCGGCCACTTAGTGCAGCGACAACCTCGGCGCGGCGTCTTCCGTGGGATTGGTGGCTAACCCGCTCCTTAAGTTCGGCGACAAATTCGAACTGGCGGCGGAGGTCGTTGCCATCTCGCAGAGGCAGCTCGCATCTCAGGGCACGCGGGTCCTACGCGCAGTTGTTCGGGCACGTCCCAGGATCATCGCGGCGGGGGGCGTCGATGACAGAGCAGATGCGGCGCGAATCGTCAAGACAGGTTGCGTGGGCGAGGTCGCGCGGGGAATTTGCACAGGCGCTCCAGGCGCGCTGGCCGTCTATTGGCAGAAGGACGTCACCGGCGTTGCCCTGCCAGGACCAATGGTGCTGTCCGCCCTGTGCGAGACCTCGCGGCCCCCGCGTGTCGGAAGCTGTGTGCCGCGTGTGCGCGACATGTTGCGGCGACCCGCGTATCTGGGACAACGCCGGTCGCCGGAACTGGAACCGAAGGAGCAAGTCCAGATTCCGACAGCTACCTCCAGGCACCGAAGTTCACCCAGCTCGTTTTCTTTCCTTTTTGCATGCTCGGTTGGGCAGTCGCGGCCGCTCCCTATTCCAGCGGTTTGGGTGACCGGTGCGGCGCGACGACTGATGGTTTCGACTTCGATGGCTTGACATAGCCAATGGCGAAGTCTCAAGGATGCCGGACAATGGATGGATAGGCGCGTGGCATGGGTTTGACATCGAGGCGCTTATTGCGACCATTCAGGCAGGGGGCTTGGCGATTAGCGACGAGAAGGCAGAGGGGCCTTTCGAACGTGTCCTGCGTTGATGCCCATGGCGACGCACGCTTCAATACATGTGACTTTTACAGGTGCTCCATCAATTTGTTTGGGGACGGCATCCTGTGGGCAGCCACGTGGGAGCTACTGTCAGTCGCGGGGCGTCGGGTTGCCAAGACTGCGAGGACCAACCAGCTGACTTTTCCAATTGCGGCCACGCATTTGGTTGCGCTGTAATTCTGTTGTCGCTCCCCAGATGGAATGCGCGATGGCGACCATTTCTCGCCAATCGGGGATCCGCTCGCGGAAGCTCCGGCGATCCCAACGGCCGCGTGCGGGAGTCAACGTGGACAGGCGGGCCCTGCAATTCGTGTCCACGACGCTTCGGCGGACTTGACCGAGGAAGAATGGGGCAGATGGCTCATGGATCAGGTGCAAATTCTGGACCAATTGGCAGCCGCAGAATACACGAATGGGCTAGCCTACGTTTTTTCCGAAGCGCTCCTAGGAGCTTCCCAGCTCCATGAAGGCGCTGTGCAGGGCCATCGTCCTGCAGCTGCGTCGGGGTGGCCTCACCGGCATTCCTCGTCCAGACTTCCCAGAAGATCTGGAGGTCGAAGGGGGGCTCGAAGACTCGGGTATCCCTGATGAGGTTGACGATGGCATTGACTACGGCGGGGGCGATGTGGGCGGCGAAAAAGACCCACGGGATCAAACGCATACCAGCCCCACGGTCACACTGCGGCTCACCAGACCGGCGGCCGATGTTATGATCTGGAAGACAGCGAAAGATGGGCCTTTTAACAGCAGGCCCGCTCGCTAGCAAGAACTGTTCACATCTTGGCGGACCCGATTGGATAGTAAAGATCATACATCAGCTGTCCAATCACGTTTCCATTACCGATCCTACAGAATGGGAGATTGTGGATGGCCTTGCACATCGGATCGACGTTGACTGCTTCGGTGACGTATTGCGCTGCAGCATTCACATCTCCGATGCAGTGGATCGTCGCGTTGATCTCGGCCCACGCCATGGTCTTTTCGCGCCAGAGGACGAACTGGAGTCTCGCCGCCTTGCCCACGAGGCAACGAATGACGCCCTCGAAGAGCTCCGTCGCGGCAGATACCAGGCAGGAGAAGGCAAATGGGATTGCGGCGCCGTGCAATGAGAACTCTCCTGCTGCCGCAGCGCGGGCGCCCGGGGTGCAGGGGGAAATCAGGGGCCGGTGGAGCTTCGCCCCCGGTGCCGCGGGCCCGGTCCTAGAACGGTTAATCTGGGCCCGATGGGAGAACGTGCCCAGACTTGACCTGGTGTGGGTCCATCGGGCTCTGTTGCGGATGCACTCTCCGTGCGTGAGCGGGTGGGTGCATCGCTGCGTGCGCGGTCCCATCCCAGAGCGGCGCTTTTCGCATCCGTGGACTCGTTGGTCAGTTGGACCCGCGACGCCTACCATTCGGATGAGATGCCCCTGAACGGGCGCGCAATGAAGGGTTGCTTTGATCCCATGCAGCGCACATTGCGCGAGGTGGCTGATCATGGGGGCAAGACGCATGGACAGGTGCACGGCCCCTTGATGCTGCCTGGCTGCAAGGCATCATGGACGACCGGTCGCCTTGCAGGGGAATCGACCCAGGCCGTCATGAAATTATTGTTTTAGACAGTTTCTTGGCCAGGTTCGCCACCAACGGCGCGCCGCGGGCCTTTCCAGGCTCGCTCCAGGAATTGGCCGTGGCAGAGGCGGAGGGCACCCCGCGTGTGGCCCTCTCCCACGACTGAGTATCTTGAGCTGGGCGGATATCTGCGGACATGCAACGACGCGTATTCCGGCAGGTTGAACGACGGGTGGTTGAGGGCTCTGCGAGATCGATTTCGCCATATGGGTCCACGGACCAACGTGCATATGCGAGTGGTTGCCCGCGAGATTGTGCAGGGCTGTTTCGACGCCAGGGCGGCGAGCGGGATTGGGGGCCTGGGCGTCGGACGAGAAATAGAACGTCGTGCACGCGGTTTACTCCTGTGATGGGGCCCGGGTGGGCGGGCGCCCCATCCGCCACTTCTGCGGGTCGCAGCGACCTCTGGCGGGCTCGGTTGTCAACCTCGTCGGCGCGAGAGACAAACCCATCCCCGAGAGACAAACCCATCCCCGCCGGGGGCCGCTGGGCGGCCCGCGTCGGTGAGGAACTCGTCGCAGACGCAGGCTTGGACCCACGAAGGCAAGAAGCACAACAATTGGCTTCGTTTCTCCGACGTGAAGGTGCATGCAGACCAGGGAAGGGTGACCTGCGCGAGTACGTGCCGCGGTGTTCTTCATGGTGCGCGCACTGCCGATCGGCGTCCAGAATGCGCCGCCCCGCCAGCGAGGGGCGCCAAGGCCTCCGGGGCCGCTCCACCGACGCAGGAGCCCGACTGGTCACTCTTTGAGGATGCGTTCAGCCATGAGGACCAAACCCTTGCTGGCAATGCGTCAGGATTGGATTGGGTGCCAGCCGACAGTGAGCGCAGGGGGGCGATCCAGCCAGCGAGGGGTCAAGAGGTGGCGCGTGCCGAGGGTGACCGGCAGCGAGAAGGTCCACCAGTCGATCAGGGTAGCGAACAGACGCGACAGAGGCCCCGACGCGCAGAGCCGTCCGATTGGTAGTGGATGTTGGACCGCTGGGCAGACGCCCAACACCGATCGGGCAAATTTGCTTCGGCGGTCAAAGGCTCTTGGTTGTCCAGCTCTGTGCAGCTGCGGAGGTTAGCGCCAATTCCATGGTGCGAGCGGCCTTGCCTTGGCGGCGGGGGAGTCATGACAGGGGTCGGACCCCCTCATCGCGCCGGCCGTTCAAGGCCGAGCGCGACCTTCGCTGGCAGCCCTGCCGGCTACAGCGCAGCAGCGTGCGAAGCTTGCACTCTTTACGATGGCCCTCTCTGCCTCCATAGCGTCGGAGGCAGCCGATCACCATTGATGGCTTCTGCGACCGCGTGGTGTCGGTGGCTCTGAGACCTTCGGAGGCTGTCCGGGCGTGATCCTAGGAGACTGCCGACCTTGCACCGCCCGTCTTTCCAGGAATATGCGCTTCTGTAGCGCTGTGGATCTCATCCCATCCGAACCGTGGCTGCCAAGGCAGATGACGCCAGTTAGTGGGACTTGCTTAGGTGGTATAAGCACGTGCTTTACATGCAGGTGTCTTCGTTGGGCGTGTCCTCGGTGCCAATTCCCCTCGTGGCGTCTCGCGGCTTGTTATTGCCAGGGGAGAAGCGCGCATCGTGTGGAGTCAGCTCCCCTACGAAGCTGCTCGCAGGACTTTGGCGATGCCCTGTGTGGACCGTGGCCTGGCCGCGACGGCGGGGTGCAAGGGCTGCCAGGGCATCGGGGGGATGCCAGGTGAATGATGGGTTCCTGGGCAATGCGCGCCGTTGTGCGGCATGTGCAACACGAAGGAGGGCGACTGCCGTTCCTGCCGTGGCCCACTTCACTTTCGCCCATGCCCCCCACCCATGTTTCCGCTGGTCCATATCTCCCAAAGGAGGCGGGGGGCGAGGCCGACAGGGTTTCGAGGGCGACGTCGCGCTGCGAACGGCGGCGCGAGGTGGTCTGAGGCCATGCCCTGCCCCGACCCATGCTCTGCAACGTGTGTGATTTGAGGGCCGCCCCTACCCATGCTGGGTGCGGTGCTGCTCGGGGGAGGGGGGGGGTCCCCTCGCTCCGCCCTATTTTTTTCCTCCCTTGTGCTCTCGCCCCTGCGCGCCACTGCATTTGCCTGCAGGGGCCCTTCTGCGACGTCGCGACGTCGCCTGTTGCCGCTCTATGCCCTTGCCCCCACTCCGCGCGGTGACCGCTGGTGTGGTGGGCTTTTTCTTCGCGCCCTACAGTTGCCTCGTGGCCCGTCCCGCTGCGCCGTTGGCGGGCCCTGCCGCATTCGCGTCGCCCTGGCGGTGGGGGCCTTTTTGGCCGCCCTGCTGGCCAGTGCCTCGGGGGAAGTCTTCTTGGTTTTCGGCCGTGTCTTGCCGTGCCTACACCGCCCGTGCTTTTGTCCTAGCTGCTGGTTTCTTGCGCTCCACTCGTGTGTTGTAGCACCTTTTTTTACGTCTGTCCTCTGGGCCTGGCGTCGGCCTTGCCGCCTCGCTGTCTGCGCCGCGACACTGGTTGTGGGCCGGCTTGGCCGGGGTCCTCATTGTTTTTGCATGCCCCCCAGGTCTCGCGCTGGGGTTGCTCGCTTCAGCCTCTCGTTGCGCCGTGTTGCCTTTCATATGGTCAACTTCTACCGTCCCAGGCGGGAAGGCTATATGGCCGCCTGGCTGGATTGCGCCTCCAGGGTATCTCGTGGTACTCGGTCGGGTGTTGCCTTGTCTGCGTTCTCATGTGTTGGCTGAGGCAGCGGTTTTCTCGCGCCCCCTCGGGCGCGCGCGGCGCGGCGGTATCCGCGTGGTAGCGTTTGTGGTCGTCGTTTTTTTCCGTCTGTCATCTTGACTGGCGGCGGCCTTGCCGCCTTGCTGCTTGGGCCCTCGCATGGGGTGCGGGCCAGCGTGGCCGCGACCTTTAATCTTTTGCATGCTGGCGTCACACCTGGGTGTGTGCGTCCGCGCCTGGGGCTGCTGTTCGCTGCCGATTCTGGGCTTTTGGCTGTATGTCAGCTTGCCCTCCCTGCAGCGTTCCCCCGCGGCGGTTCGTCGGTCCCCTCCCTCTTTGGGTCGCGGGGGTCGCTCGCCCCGCCGTCGTCGGTCGGTCGCGGGTTGGCCGTGTCGTGGGGTCTTCCGCCTTCGTCTCTCGGGAATCCTCTCTTGCTTCTGCTCTTGCTGCGTTCCCCCCCCTCTTCCTTCCAGGTCGCCCCCGCGCGGGGGTCTGCCTCCTTCTCTTTGAGCGTTGGCGTATCCCGTTGGCGGGTTCGCATTGCTATTTTTGTTTTTGATATGTCGCCGATTGGTCGGAGTGGTGTGATTTTTGTGGTGATGCGTACTGTCTCTCTTGGGCCTAGATGGTTGCCCCATCTTGCTTGGTTTCGCTGTCACCTGCCTCGCCTTCATCCCTTCGCGGCTCCCGTTGTGGTTGGGGTTTGCTGTGCTGGCGCTGGCGTCTGCACTGCACGCTTGGACATGCTCGCGCCTGTCCACCACCCATATGCACCGCCGCGTTTCGCGGCTGCTGCTCGCGGTCGTCCGCGTTCAGCCTTGTTTTTGTGGTCCAAGGCAAAGCCAGCCTCGGCCCTTTGATTTCTTTATCACGGCGATCTCATGCACCCTGTTGCATGTTCGGTCAATATGTTACTTGCTCGCTGCAATGTCGGTGGCGTTGCTTTGTCGCGTAGTTTCCCCTGCGTGTATGCACCGCCACCAAGGTGGCAGGTCTGCCAGCCTTGCATTTTTTTCGTAGCTGTCCCTTTTCGGGGTTGAATTCGCACCAGACTGCTGCTTGCGCTGCAAATTACCCACGTCGAGTTTATGTTGTCCGTTTTTTTTTTGACCGCTACACTTTGGCATTGCTGCGCCTCCTGTTTTTCACCATCTGCATGGCCGTGACTGGATTCTTTCACTTTGGCGCGTTCGGCTAAATTCGTTCGCGCTTGGCGCCGCCACTTGCCGACCTGCCTGATGTGCCTCTTCGCCGCCCACTTAAATTGTGTCTTTCATCGCCAGTTCAGAGCTCCCGCGCGCCCGCCTTCGGAAGGAGTCGGCCGACACCCCCGGGCGGTCGGCGGGCGCCGCGGAGGGCGCCGCGGAGGAGGCGCCCGCGGCCAGCGAGAGATGGTCGGGGTCGCTGAAGTTCCGGAAGGCGCAGGCGGGGCGCGCCGAGGCCGAAGGACCGCAGCGGGGGGGCCCCGATTCCCCTGACATCCGGGCGTCGCCATCTTTGGCGCGCTGGGCGTTTGCTTCGGGCGCAATTGGTTCGTGGCGTCGGATCTCGGGGTCGCGTCGTGACAAAAAAGACGGCGGAAGGTTCGGGCAATGGTCGGTCCTTGGGGGCCACGGCTGGGCCCAGAGGACCGTCAGAGGACGGATCGGGACGAAAAGCGGGCCCCGGGGACAAGGTCGAGCCTTCCGGGGACCCTGTAATGGAAAATTCAACACGCGGAGTGCGTGGGAAGTTCCATGTTTTCGGACGTTCTCGCCGGCGGCCGGCAGTCATCCCCGACAGGGGCCCTACCGCCCGCTCTGCGTAGGAGCGTGCGGAATCGCCGATGTATCGGCGACGTATCGCCGATTCCAGTTCGAGGCTCGCCCCCCCCCGAGGCAGTCCCCCCCTGACGTCGTTCCCCTTTGCCCCCTGGGATGGCAGACCGCCTCGGAGCTGGCCCGCGGGCGCCCGGTGGCGACCGCCGTGGGGCAAGCTCACAGGCGGTCTCGCGCGTGAGGAAGCAGCTGAACAAAACAAATCGGCCACGCGCAGAGGGAGATATGGGGGAGGGGGGAGGCTTCTTAGAAACACCCCTGCTGGTTAGAATGCGCGGGCCTCGTCCGTAAATGCAAATGTAAGACCAGCGCCCTCGAAGAAGCAACCTCCTTCTAAGAAGCCTTCTACCCTCCCCCTATCCCATCGTGCGCGCAGCCAATAAAACGCTTACCAGGGTCTCTTTGCTACGGCTGGGTGCCGCTCGGAAAGCAGGCCACGATTGTCCCTGGGGGGGCAGCGACGCGATCCAGAGCCCGAACTTCTCCACTTCAAAGTCGCCAACTCATCGCCGACGCATCTCCGATGCATCGGCATTGCGGCGCGATCACGCTACCCCGTTTGCCCTGGCCCCATCAAGGCTGCCTCCAGGGTCAGACGGGCCAGCACGAGTTGGCATGCGGGGTATGTTTTTGTGCACTTTTTATTCTGTGCTTGTCTTCGAAGAGGAAGAAGCATAAGCATGATCATTCGGAGGTCCGTGCGGATCTCTTGGGGTCCAGCGCCGACCCAAGAACTCCGAGGACGGAGGAAAATGGGCGGAGGGGATCAGGGCGGGGGAGCACGAGGTGAGGTACGATCGGCAGGTCGACTGGGCACTGTGCAAGTTCACACACCGCTCCAGTGTGTTATATGAATTCCCGGCGCCACCCGCAGACGTTGGGGGGAGGTCTGCGAACAGTCTCCTGGTCACCAATCTGGGCCCCCTCCCTCTTTGCGTTCGGCCTCGTCATAGCTATGGCCGCGACGGGCCCAACCGTCTGGCGGTGAGACTTCGGCCAAAAGGATAGGGCCGTCGGCCCCCCTCCTCCCCGAGGCCCTCGGGAAGCCTCTGGAAGGCCGCGAGGCTGGAGCTCACAACACATCCGCCGCCCAGGTAACCGCTGCATTGAGGCCCCAGGAGGCGGCGGACACGGGTTCCATATTGAGCCCGAGGGCGTCCATGCCCGCCGCCTCCTGGGGTCCTGAGAGCTCGGTTTCCCGAGCGGTGGATGCCTCGCACGGTCTGCCCCCATCATCAACAAACATCTAGGCACCCCATTACGATCCCTATCCTCAACATCTGGCGTGATGATGTTGCTGAGCATCGCGCTATCCTCATCACCACCACCATTATCATATGCATTATCATCATCACCACCATCATTATCATCACCACCATTATCATCAACATCACCGTCTCCACCATCACCATCACCATCATCATCATGATCATCATCTTCATTATCAACAACAGCGAAATGTTCAATACTATCATCATGATCATCATCATCACCATGTTCATCACCTCCATCGTCACCGTCACCCTCACCATCACCTTCACCATCATCATCACGGCCATCACCGTCATCATGAACACACCCGTTGTCATCAACATAGTCATCATCACTATCAGCAGCATCACCATCACCATCATCATCACCGATGACGTCATCATCATGACTATTATCATCATCACCATCATCATCACCATCCTCATCACCATCAGTATCATCAACACCATTATCAGCACCATTACCATCATTACCATCATAACAATTGTCACCATCATCACCTTCGTCATCATCATCCTCATCACCATCATCACAACCATCACCATCACCATCATTATCATCATCTGCATTATCAGCACCACCATCATCACCATCCTCACTATCACGATCACCATAACCATCATCATCATTACCAGCATCATCATCATCATTACTATCACCATCACCATTACAATCACCATCACCATCACCATCATCCTCACCATCATCATCATCACCATCACCACACTCAACATCACCATCATCATTCTCATCATCATTGTCAGCATCATCATCAGTCACATCTTCATCATCATCACCATCACCACATCACCACACCATCATCATCATCATCACCATCACCATCACCATCACCATCACCATCACCATCACCATCACCATCACCATCACCATCACCATCACCATCACCATCACCATCGTCATCATCATCATCATCATTAACAACAACATAAAAATAGTAACACTGATGATACTATGGATACTAGTAATAATATTATTGTTCATTTTTATTTTACAAGTAATATTAGTAATACTATTAGTAATGTGTACAATAAAACTGACACTATTTATCACCAATATCAATGATATTAGTATCAATTATCATAACCATCACCACCACCATCATCATCATCATCATCATCATCATCATCATCATCATCATCATCATCATCATCATCATCATCATCATCATCATCATCACCAGCGTCGTCATCGTCGTCGTCGTCATCAGCGGTATGCCCTCCATTAGCAGCGTCAGAACATTCTCGGATCCAGCATCTGGGCTGTCTGCGTTTTCTTGAGTGAGCTGTTTTCGCTTGATTGGTAAGCCCTGGCCGCCCAGACCCTTACGGCGCGTGCCCAGTGAAGCTCTGCTGCGGGGTGCTTCACACGTTGTGGCCTGGCCCTGCAGGCTATGACATCTCCGCCAGTGCCGTGGCAGCTCACCTCCAGGCGAATGCTGATCTGGTGATCGATGGAGCGCTTGACGAGGAACCAAAGACGCTGTTTGCCCCCCGCCCCCCCCCTCGCGCGTTTGCTGCCCCTCCCGTTGGCTTCCGCCCGGAGCTGCCCCATGATGCACACCAGCGCCATGCAAGCATTGGGCAGCATTGCACCGTCGGAATATCGGCGTCGAATCGGGTCAACTGGATCGACTCGAAATCGGATATCGAATCGAAAACCGACGTAAATCGGATATCGAATCGGTATCCGATTTCGAATCGAAATCGGATACCGAATCGAAATCGGATATCGAATCGAATCGACTGGTCGGGTAAACCGACGTCGGTATCGAATCGGATCGACTGGATCGAACTGGATCCTGATGGACGGGGGACGGGGCCCCCCCCGCGGGCCTCCCTGCCCCACAGAGGGGGTGGGGGCCTTCCCCCCTCCGCGGCGCGCCCGCGGCGAGGAGCCGGCGAGGCGGCGGGAGACGCCCGGCAGCTGGCGTCCAAGGCGAGGCCGCCCCCACGCCCCCGCGGCCGCGGCGCTCCGGGGGGCTCCGCGCTCCCAGGCGGCCCCTGCCGAGGTTGGTGGTCTCCAAACCAGGTGGTGAGACACCCGGTGGTGACCCCGATTCCCCAAGGAAACAATTCTGGGTCACCACCGGGTTTGGGGACACGCGGTCGCCACGAGGCTTTGCATTTCTTGGGCCAGCCAGCGCTCGAAGACCATTACCCAAATCACCCAAAACTCACCACCGGGTGTTCTCACCACCACGTTTGGGGACCACCAACGAGGAGCGGGGGCAGGGCGCCCACGCACCCGACTTTCCACGCCGGTCTCGAGAGTGCGCCTGGCGCGAGCAGTCGTCTCCGGAGTCTGGTCTCGCGGGCTGGGGGGCCGTATTCGTGTGTGTGTGTGTGTGGCTGGGCGCAAGCTTCGCGCGGCCGGCTTAGCTTCGACCAGAAGAGGTGCGCTCTCGACCCGCGGATCAAAAAGTGGGTGGCTGGGCGCGTGCGTCCTTCTTGTGGGCTCCCTGCATGCCCTCGCGGTCTGAACACCGGGCCTCGCGGCCGGGGTGCGTGCTGCGCGGGGCGTGCACGCAGAGGCCGCTTGGTGTCCACGGGGTCGTGGCCGAGGCGTGCAGACGGCTTTTTTCTGTGGACACGGATGTCTTGACCGCCCGCTGGGAGGGAGGCGGAGTCGGATCTCACTCATCCCATCCTCATCCGAATCCCATCCTCTCGCATCCCATCCTCAACCTCATCCTATCCTCATCCCATCCTTTCCCATCCCATCCTCCCCCTATCCCATCCAATCCCATCCTTACCTCATCCTCAACCCGTCCTCATCCTCATCCTCGTCCCATCCTCTCCCATCCCATCCTCGTCCCATCCTCATCCTCATCCCATCCTCTTACCGCCCACCAAGCCACCCCAACCCAACCCGAAGGCCCCGATTCGCCCTCCATTCCCAGTGGGGGGAAGCATGGGGGAACATTGAAAAACATGTGTGGAACCCGTACCCCCCCGTCAACCCGAAACTTGGGTCTTCGGGTTGGGTTGGGGTGGTCTGATAGGCAGTCATCTTCTCCCAGCCCGTCCTCATCCCATCCTCGTCCCATCCTCATCCCATCCTCATCCAATCCTCGTTCCGCGTGGACCTCCATCCCATCCCACCTCACTCATCCCATGCTGAATTTTATCCTCATCCGCACCTGCTTCATCCTATCCCGTCCTGTCCTTCCTTCTCATTCTCTCCTTCCAGTCTGCAGATGAGCGATGTCATTCAGAGTGTATACTCCAGA